TAAAAAGATTTATTTTTATTTATTTTGACTTTCATAGATTAATTCATATACTTGAATAATGCTCTTTAAAACAATTTGAATTATTTAAAATAAATCATAGAAATGTTCACAAGAAAGTAATTCATTCATAAAGATGTTTGATTTACTTGATCAAATGCCAAAATATATCATTTAGATGGTATGATGCAATCCTTTGAGGTGAGCTTTCTTTTAGTCTAGATGATTGTCACAACGTAGAATATTAATCAATATTTAGACCATATCTTGAGTTTAAGATATTGGATTGAGGTGATTCAAAAGCCTACAAAAAATAAGACATCCAGACTTATAACTTTCTTGAAGAGCTAAAGTCCAAATGCTACCGCTAACTAAACCAAAATTACTTTGAAAATTCCAGAACAAAATCTATCATTCAGCAAGTCCTATTAATTTCAAGTATTATGCTTGTAAGATATGATTTATTAGTTGTCACATTTATCTACTCACATGTATAAATAGCCTCTCAAGTTATTCAAAAGAGGCGGTGTATTTATTCATATAATTTAGGGTTTGCACTTTAAACAATATTTAGCTAATTTTATTGATTCAATTCAATGGATTTCAACTTCAATTCATAACATATTGAGTTTTAACTTTAAATTATTCTTAATTCAAATATCTATTGGCTCTTTAATTTTAATTATTTATGATTACATAGATGATTGTCCGAGATGGTCTATCAATTAATTGTCTATTGCGATTAATTGCTAACTATTTTCATAATCCATAATTGTTATGAATGTTTAGTACAAGTAGCAATTAGGTTTTCATGATTATGATCTTTGTTTTTTTGATCACCTAAGGGAAACAAAGAATGAAAAACCACTTCTTAAGTTTCTTAAAATTGTTGTTCGGTCTTAGTTTCTTTCTAATTCATAATGTTATTATTAAATTAACTAGGATTTCTTAATACCATCAATTAATAATAAAAATTTAATTTAGGTGTTGAGTTTGAATTAATGAACATGAAAAAGATTAAGACTTATCTAACTTCTAGGTAATTCTTGTTTATGTATTCGATAAGAAAATATTAATCTAGGTTTTTATGGTCAATCTACAAATTGAATGTGCAATTTCTTTTTGAACAAGAACTTTTATTAATTATAGTTTCCACACATTTGATTTCTACGTTTGATATAATTTATGGACTTTCAATACAACGACCCCTTCAACACCCCCCTTCAATTTTGAATTTGCTAAATTGATTCCCCCAATTCCGAGTTTGCTAAATTGATCATTTGGTCTTTAAGGTTCGATCCGAAATTGCTAATACTACATAATTTATGAGACCAAGTAAAATAAATAAATTTTAGTGAATTCAAAAGGCATCACCCGAGTGCTCGGACCTCTCTTTCTCCTTAGTCTTCCACTTATAGAGAGGTAGGACTATACTTTGAATTATTGTCAAAATAAAGACAACAAGTCAGTTCTACCTCAAAAGAAGGAAACTATAAAGCTAGAATGAAAACAAGAGCATAAGTACTTACGAGAGAGGCTAAGTTGCATGGCCTCCTCTATCTCTTTAACAAAAGAGCCATTAGCATATACATCGATCGAGAACAAGCAAATCTACCTAAGAATGTGAGAAAATATCATACCTCTTTCTTTCCTTAGGGAAACAAGCATCACCAATAACTCCCTCGAGAGTGCGAGTTGCTCCATATAGAGAGAAGGTTAAAGGACACCACAAGAAACCCGGGCTATATCGGGCATATAAATCCCAATGACTTCCTTCCCTAGGTGCTAAGTAGAAGGAGAGCACCTTGTAATTATAAAAACTCCATCATCCTCACCTCCTAGACATAGAACAAAATTAGAGGTAGTTATTACCTCTTCTAAGGCCCTTTACGATCTAAAACGAGTCTCATTCTCTAAGATCACCATAGGAGACATGATCGCCTTAGCGATAGGAGGATCAAGTTTCTCTAGGGGATGTATAGAAGAGCTCCTCGCTTTTTTCAATGCTAGCGCCTACCTTATGCCTCTTAACTATTTGTTCACCTATGCTCTTAGCGAGCAACCTCTTTCTAAGTAGGATTTCTAGTCCTAAAAAGAGGGGTCGGCATCGAAGATAGAGCATCAACTTCAATAATATTCTCAAGATGCAGCAAAGAAAGCTCTATGACGAATTAACCAAGATCGCTATTTCCATTAGGCAACGGATAATGTGCAAGTACATAAAATGTCAAATACTAAAAAGTGAAGGCACAAAGACAAAAAAATCAAACTAAAAGTCTAGCTATTACCTAGGAAATTATGATTAAGGATCGGCTCATTGACAATATGTTGACCCTATTCTTCTTTCCTTTGCTTTTTACCGCATCCCAAAAGACCGATTTAGTATCATATTAAGAGAGAAAGTATGAGGGTTAACCCGGAGGCACATCTATGAAGAGGACACCCTCAAATGCTCCGACCACTACCTTAGAGAGTTGCCCTATGATAACGGACAATAAACCATTCCTCCTTTTAATCTTTTTTCAAGTTAGGAACTCCCACAAAATCATTTAATTAGTTTTCAACACATGCCACAAAGGTGTACACCCCGACCTCTTCTTTTAAACTCACCATCTCCACAAGTCAAACGGTGAGAGAACCTAAAAAGCTTAAGAGTTGGAGTCACCCCCAAGACTTTGATAGAAGTGGTCAAAAGCATCCAAATCGATCCATCCATTCGAGTGAATCCGGCTCATGCTTAGGCAAAAATGGTCAAACAACTTCACCACAAAACCAATGAACAAGAACTTAAAGTCGTACTCCAATATGCGTATGGGGACAATGATGTTGAGGTTCTCCTCGCCCATGCCAAAAGAAGATTTATCTATTCTATCACCTGGGTTGGCCATAATGGAAAGAAAATTCTCTCCTAGCAAACTCATGTAAGCGACTAGTCTCTCACTAGACATATAACTTGACCCCTCCATAATAAAACGAGACTCGCTTTGAGAAGAGAATAGCCCACCAACACTAGAACTAGAACGGTCTCATAAGAGATATCTCCGGATGCCCCTAACTCTCTCAGTGGCACTCATATACCTAATCACAAGAAAGAATAAGAGAAAAGGAAGATGTAGAATTTACTCACATATGTACATCTAAAAGCACTCCACTGTAGAGGAGTCCTCACAAAAATAATGTCGTACAAAAATGAAGAGAGAGAAAAAATGTTTTTAAGAAAACAAAGATGACACTCTAAAAACCTACCACAGAGAAATTTGAAGCACACAAATGAAAAAAACTTTAGCAATAAGGCTTAAATATAGACGAAGAAGGGCCTCTTTTTGCATTTAGGACACTCCAAATCTAAGAGATTGGCCCACACTAACATGGGGACATCATATAAGTTGAAAATTCAAGACGGACTTTTAATGAGGGTAATCATTAGTTTTACAGGAAACCAAAAAAGACTTAACCATTCGTACCAATAGAGGCGTCAAGCTTCATTCAAAGCTACCAAACCTAAGGTGTTAAGAATTTGAAAGAAAGGATCTGCTAACCAACCAAGCAACAAGTCAAGACAACAAAAAAAACCAAGGATCACATCTAATCAAAGAACATATGAAATGCCCAACCAATAGTTTTTAAGTCTACGCTAAGCCAAGCTAGACAAAACTTAAGGGAGAGGGACTCATGATGTGTGGCCTTGGGCCTTGTCCCAAAAAAACCTAAAAGAAAAGGTGCAAAGGCCCCTAACTTAAAAAGGACTAGCCGATTAAGCTTAGCCGAGAATACCTAAAAAACAATAGCAAAGGTTACCCTCCTAAATAAAGGTTTTCGAATCTTACCATGAAAGGTTCCAGTCTAAAAAAAAGATGCTCTTTTCTAATATCATCAAGAAACAAAGTGTTAATGAATAATTTCTACAATTGGTATCAATGAATCATCACTCATCACCATCGCATTAACACCATCATAGAATCAAAAACAATAATAGCAAAATATCAATACTTGTTCACTTCTTTGCTAATCATAGGAGAAAAAAATATTCATGCCCCTTGGATCGTGCAAAAAGTTTACACTATTGCCTATATAAATAAATAAATAAATAACTAAGACTTCGATAAAGATTTGAGCCAAGAGTGAAAAAACCAAAATCTAAATCAACGCAAGTCCTACACATACAATAGAACACCCTTAGAAGAAGAAAAATATATATTCAAGCAATACAAGCAAAATTTGCTAAATCAATAATAAATTAGTATATAAAAGTCTTTTTAGATCAATTCTTCATCTTTCGAACACTATTCTAAACATTAAAGAATCCCCACCTAACTAGAAAGACTTATTTTGCAGATTTAAAAAAAAAAAAAAAATCCCATCAACACTTCAGGAATGCTTGCTAGTCCCTACTGCCATCATAAACCACTATTAGTTGAGTCAATCGCCTTGACCTAGAGTTTAATCATCTGAGGCCCAAACAATGATGAAAAGCAGAAAAATAAATAATAAAGAAAAACTTGTATATTGAATCGCTGATGTACCGACTGGCCATTTTACAACATGCGATGAACTTCCTTTAAGGAAAAAAAAAAAAAAAGCATAAAACCCAAGACACCAGCGTATGCAGAAAAATTCAAATTCCATCACCGTTTGCCTTTAGTTCTGGAAGAGACAACTGCTGATCTCTCAAAGACGTCACATACAAAATTTTCTATAATCTAATTGATAACAGGAATCGTACAAAAAAAATAAATAAAAATTCTGCATCAAGACCCATACAAATTTATAGCTCAACTTTGACCACTCCATTTAATCATTCTGCTAACAATCATGCCATTTCTACGGACAGGCACCTGCTTCCAAGACAACCTTGACTGTCAGATATTTCATGGGATAGCAACGCATAAATGATTGCTCTTGAAGTTTGATCATGTTCGGTAGGGTAGAAAAGTTGTTCTATGTTGCCACTTACCTCATATTATCAACACTAGCAAAGACATGGTAGTCATCAAGTTCTGAATTTACTGGTGCGGCCGCAATACCAACTTGTATGCTTGTATTTCCATGGGAGAGATGAATACATGTCCCTCTTGACCTACATTCCCAACCTGCTCCATATATCCAAGCATCTCTATGTCTTCATGCAAAAGATTCAAAGAAGTTGCCTTTGCATTCAACACCTCAAGCCCCTTGAACATGTTGAAAAGATTTAGAGGCTGATTAGCAACACTGGTGCACTGAGATCTACCCTTTCGACAGTATGAAGCATCCCAATGTCTCCTTTGTAAGATCAGGACAAACCTAGAATCTTCAATCAGCTGCTGAGAATATTTTGACGGCCGGGGAACCTTAAAATTCACAATATGCAAGTCACAAGGCAAAGGAGCAGCCAAAGGCGAGAAGGTTCTTGGAGGTGGTTGCACAGATAACTCCTGGGGGTTTTCGCAACAAAAGCATGTAATGGATAATTCAAGTGGGCACCAACACAGTGAGAGAGAACAGAAGGGCTGAGAGGAAGAGGATTGGAAACAGGATCTGAGGTGGAAGAAATGTTAGACTCAAAAAGGATGTGAAAGAGCACATTCATTGGACGGTTATCCATCACTCCTTGCCCAAGACCACGTCCATCGTCTCTTAGCAAACGGCGGTCAAGCATAATCTCTAACCATCCATCTTTAAGGCTGGCCACACCCAGCGACTGTTTAGAATGGACAGAGAACCTCTTACCACCAGATCCTTGCATGAATGCTAGAGAAGGCATAGGGTAGTAATTACCCTGCAGGGGTATCTTATCATAAGTTTCTCTCCTGCTCATCTGAAAGCCATTTAAATCAGAAAAGAAAATCCTTTTATTATCGAGATCTGTCTTGTATCTAACTATCAGTTCCTTGTCAATAAAATCTTGGCCAAGAAGCTCAACATGGTATTCTTTCTCAATAAGCAATTCCTTCATAGCACTATCTCCATTATAAATTCGAGTGCTATGGGAGATGGGGGTTTTCTCCCATGTTGTTTTAGGATAAGAGTACACTTCCTGCACCAATAGACCCTCAAATATCACCATGTGCCCACCAGCCCCAATGATAGGTTGAGCATCACCAATGGGTTTGAATAGGTAGGCCCCACTTCCGAAACTAGAGTACATTCCTATTTCTTCACCCACGGCATTCATTGAACCATCTCTATGAGTTACTTTCTGCAACAAACCATGCTTGACATCAAAGGTGAGAATTTGATGTTGATTCTGAATTTCGGCCACACCACCATCTATTTTGGAGCAATCATACAGAGCAGGGCAAGAAAATGATTTGGACATCGAGAAGTATTTTAGTTTTGCCGGTTTTGCTTTTTCACATCCCACAAAACCGTTAGCAACATAATATGTTTGCAACCCCATGGCAGGAATAGAAGCTTTCCAGTGGACACGATGCCTCCCGGTAAAAATCTTGCCCTTATCATGCTGCAATTCAGGGGACACTTGGCTTGGGACACAAGTCCAGTTTGAATCCAGAACAGTAACATCAGGCCTGCTAACAATAACCATCACAACCTCTTCTCTACTTTGCTCTAAGGGATTAAAAAGTACAACAGATTGTGAAGTTCCTTCGCGAGCACCAATAACCTTATGCACTGGCTGAACATCGTATTTAGATCTCACCTGCTCCGACTCAAACTGAGATGGGTTATGATCAGATTTTTCATGGCGAACACCAAGCAGCACTTCAACAGCCTTGGACATGAAAATCTGCAAGTCCTGTAAAGAAGTATGCATCCGCATTCCGTAGTCCCGAACAACATGATCCTTAGCAGTGCCAGTTACCCCATCATGATGTTGGAAAAGAGCTAAATTCCTCCTAGCAGCAGTCATCTTGTAGGCAAATCCTGTGGCCAATTTTTCACATTGTGCTCTCTGGCAATAACCATGCAACAAAGCCATCATTATTTCTGCAGCACGAAGTGTTTGCTCTAGTACCCGATCAACAGCCTTAAAGAAAGGCCTTGAGACGTAATAGCCACTCCAATAGTCCTGCTGCCTATCAGCATAAGTAAAGAAGTCACCTGATAGAGATGGAAAACCCCCTATCTGACCAGAGCCAACCTCTCCAGGAAGAGAATAATTTATCCTGTCAGCCTCTTCACGAAGAGTTCGGAAATAATCATCCAAAGTACCAAATTTTGCCTCTGCATTTAAACTAGGACTAGAGTTGATGTAATCAAATAACATTTGGTAATTCCGAAACTGAGCCTCAGCTTCATCAATACTGATGTAGCGGAAATCATCACCAAGAGGAACAAGGAGAGTATTAGTCCGGTACAGAGTTGATTTCTTCCTGTATTGATCCAGTAGCTTCAGTGCTCTCTCCTGTATATTTTCCTGGTTGATTTCCACCGGATGTTTGCCCCATGGGCAAAATTCATAATTAAAGCCATGCATTCGAGCAAAATCAAATTGACAACAAATAGCAGGCTCTGGTCCACAAGTATGAGGAATATCATATGAATAGAAGGGCATCATGTGTGCAAAAATATCAGTGCTTTCCTCAGCATCCCAGCTTTGACGCCATATGTATTCTAAATTCTTTTGCAAAGAAAGTTCCTTCTTCAGCTCATAGTGGGTTCTTTGAATAAGCATGTTTTCGAAACCCATACGACGGAGTAGATATGCCATGGTAGGAGAGTAACCAAATGGATCTATCGCCCATGAATTCTTAGGAACAACCCCAATGGTGTCATTCAACCACATATTCCCCTCTGTAATCTGAAACATAAATGCCAAAAAGCTTTATCCAGATGCTCACCACTGGCAAAATAAAATCCTAGACATAATTTTAATCACAGAACAATGCTTCTATATCCCAAAATCAGATTGTGTGTAAAACCAAATGCATTATATCACTAACTAAGACAGTAGATTTTACCATAGCTGTTATTATTATACCTTATAATAAGCAGAAACAAAAAATTTAAGTCACAATTGAACAAAATTAACTGCACACCAGGAAAAAATAAAAAGAAGGCATGCTTGAATCTACTCATCGGTTCAGCATTGGTCTCCCATTTGTGTGTGTGTGACTTAAAAAATACAAGCCAAATATTTTAACCGCATACAGGAACTCCTGGTAGTGGTAGGCTTGAAAATACTCATCAGTTTAGTAATGATCTCCCATTTGTGTGTGCGTGCCCGTCTGCAAGTCACTTGGAAAATACAAGCCAAATTTAAGTTCCATGGATCATACTACCGAGCCATATTAGCAAGTACAAGACACAACTGATGTATTATTTTGCAATTCTAGGGAAAGAAAAAAGATTTCCTTTTTCTCCTTGGAAAAGATCAAACATGGGACCAAGACAAACCCTCTACATTTTCCAACTTATGCCAAGGGAAGATGAATTGGAAACTGGACACTGCAAACATTGCTTTCAACTTACGAACTTCAACCAAAAAAAAAAAAAACAAAGACAAAATTAAACAGCAGTTGAATACAGAGATAAGAATCCAATCTTCTATCATAGTTGTTTAACAAGTTCTGAACACATAATTCATTAATGTAACCACACAAATGCATATAAGTAAAGGAGGCCTTTGAGTATATACCTGCTCGATTATGGCAAAATAATGTGAATTAGCCTGCATCAAGAGAAAAATGAATATATATACTGGTCATCAGATGAATGCATTAGCTATAAACCACTAAATACACCAAACAAAGGAGTAAAAAAAAAAATACATAGTTTTAACATTAAACATTACATACCTCATCATTCATTACCCAACCGCCACCAACAATTTCCAACTGGCCTGCCTTGACTAAATTGGTAAAAGATTCTCTATTTTCCACCGATGCATCCCTCCACCACCTCTCCAAATAAGACATCTCTTCCCATATGAATTTCCGACGAGGATCCTACCAAAAAAAAAAAAAAACAAACTCAGTCCAAAAGTATAAAAGCTAAAAAAAGAGTCCCAAAATGAAGGGCTTTTTTATTTTTATTACCTTAGAAAGTGTGTGGACAATTGTATCAAGTATATGCCTAGACTGCCTATCATAATACTCCTCCACAGTAAGCTTCCAGCCTGGATCATTATGTGAATGAGGCACCACAAAAACCTTCAATTTCTCACTATCCCATTCATTCCCTTTGTAGCTCACTCTCCATCCTTGCTTCCACGGCCCACCATCCACATCCAAGAACTGGATCCTATCATACAAATCCTTTGTGGTTATATCCACAGTAGCACCGTCTTGGTAGTTGTTGTTGTTCAAGTTATTGCTGCTGTTGCTTTTTCTGTTGTCGTTTTGGGGGGCTTCCGATTCCGGACCTTATAAGGAGGAGGCTTTGATTTAAAAGGAGAGGAGAGGAAGGGTTTTGGGATGCCAAAGAGAAGGATGGTTATTAAAAGGAACAAGAGAGAGATGGAAAGAGCGATGGTGAAGAAGTTTGTGAAGATGAAGTTAATCAGAGCCGTCCTTTTGCGCAACTTTCTTGATGGATGTTTTGATTTGGTCGGGGTGGGAGAGAGAGTGGGGAGAGGTGAGTTGGGCAAGATGTTGGCACGGCGAGTGTTGCCACCAATATAAGAGGAGAAAGGCATCGTCTCCTCTTTTCTCTTTTTGCTGCTGGATTTTGCTATTTTCAATTTTTCAATTACTTCCTAGATGGAATCATGGAAGAGAGAAGATCAGGGGATCTATCGTCACTTCCGACTTCCGACTATGCTTGGTTGGGATTAATTAAATGAATAAATAAAAAGATCTAGAACTCTTTATTTTCCCTCTAGTGAAGTCTTCCTTCAAAGTCAAGGAAGGAATTTTGGTTCACTTATTTTCTAACTTCATTTTTACTCCTGATAATTCACCAATATTTCTTTTCCATCCCTATTGTTTGATATTTTCAAATGTTACCCTTATAATTCTAAGAAAAAAAAATACCAAGTTTACTATTGACCTTTAATACACATGTGTATATCTATACATATATTATGGTACAAAATATTGTTATAATCAAATTAAATTTATAAACAAACGAATGATCAAAATCGAATTACTTTGGAGTCCAAGTGCAAACAACTAAGCCAACATTATACTATTTCTAACAATAACTTAATTAGTGGTGGAGAATTCTACGACGGTTGTCCGTATAGTGTTTTGAGAATGAAACGTCCCTATGTTCAAAATGATTGTTACTTAAAAAATTATATATGTTTTTCATTAATGATTCACTTTATAATTCTTTTAGGATCAAATCAATATAGTGCAACATTCTAAGTTGTATATAAAAGACTCGTAAAAGTGAATTAACCGTTTGAAGTTGTGTATTGGGGTCTCTATAATATTCGAACATACATGTGTTGCTACTTAACATATAGAACTTTTGGATTAAAAAGAATTAAAATGATAATCGTCATCTAATATTTTAAAGCATCATTTGATTACTAGAAATCAAAAGTACGGAATGAAAGTATAGGAATCGAAATGAAAATTAAAAAATTAAAATGACATTTGCATTCTTATCTTGTTTTTAGAATAGTAATAAAAAATGAGAATGAAATTTAAATTTTTTAATATCCGATTTTTAATAAGATTAAGAATAATGATTAAAAAAATAATTTCATCAATTATAATGACGAGTAAAATAATAGAAGTGATTGTCATGGTGATGATGATTGTGGAGTAGAAGAAGCATAAGAAAGATGTGATAGTGATAACAATATAGTAATAGTGATAATAATTTTTAAAAAAAAGATTAATACCATCACCATAGGAGGTGATAATAAAAAAAGAGTGGTGGTGAGAGTATAATAAAAGTGATGGTGGTAATAGAAGAGTGGTAATAAAATAATAATAATTTTTTTTTTTAATATTGTCATCAATGGTGGTGGTGGTACAATAAAAATGGTGATAATGGTTGAGAAAGAGTCGTGACAAAATATAATAATAATATTTTTTTTATCACTGCGGTAATGGTGGTGGTGGTATAATAAAAGTAATTATGTTGGTTGAAAAAAGTGGTGGCAGAATAACAATAACAATAATACTTTTTAAAAAAAATTATCACCACCAACGAATGGAGGTAGTGGTAGTAGTAGACATAATAATAATAATAATAATAATTTTATCAACACCGCCAATGAAAATAAAACAACTACAAGATGAAAATAAAATTTTTATTCTTATTTCCACCTCTTCATTTCGTTAACTAAACAGCGAGCTAAGGAGACTAGAAAACATAAAATGACACTAGTACTTTCCAACATATAGGTTTCATAGCATGAGTAAGGAGTTGGTTATGTTTAAAAAAAGATAACAATCACCCAAAAACATTTTTTCGTAAAAAAAGTTACCCGATTTGTTTATATTCCTAACTCTTTTTCTAAATATTATTATTTTTCAAATTATTTTTGAAGATTATTTACGATTTTATTAATAAGTTAGATTGATGTGAATTTGAAATTAACCTAGAGGATTAATTCTTCACCTTTATGTGTGAGGCCATTTTTAACATATTAAGTTAATTACAATTTATTAAGGAATCTCATTAAATTGCCATCAAATCTTGAAATTAAAAATCTCATCAATTTAATATCCGATCTAATTAAAAGTCTTGCAATAAGTTTCATACCAAAAACATCTTGACAAATCAAGACATGCTATATGCGAAAGATGCAAATAATAATCTTGACGTTACGAACGAAATATTAATATTACATGTTATTCTAAAAATAGTTTTAGAAATTCATTGGGCCATCATTGGTCCCTAAAAATGGAAAACTTGTTGATCAAACATTAGATCCCAAAACAATCCCGGTATAAAATCACTTATTTAAACAATATCGGGATATAATATACAAATAATCATAAACAAAATTAAAATGAAATGAAAATATAAATTACATAAAGGGTAGTTTATGTATGCAAAGTTTGGCACATGTAAATCATATATAGAAATGCATGCAAATAAAAAAATTATAATATTTATTCATGCTAAATAAATAAATACTATATTTTGCAAACATAAAAATAGATGCCTAATTAAAAAAAAATACGAGTTACTAAAAAGAAGTTCGTTAACAAAACAAGATCTAAATTGACTCAAATTGATAAATTTTTAAGAAAATTACATTATGTTTCTCAAAGTTTTATTATGCAAAATAAGGACAAAATAAAGGCAAATCAAGATAAGTTACTAAAATAAAATAAAATAGTGAAAGTAGTAAACAAAATAAGCTAAAGAGGATAAAAATTGAAAACAAAACATTATGTTTCTATCGTGGAAAAATAGGGATGTAATTGAAGACTACTTAAGTTAGATTATCAAATTGAAGCAGAATTACCAAAATGGGAGCCAAACTAACTTTAAAAGGCAACAATAAAACTGCATTTTATTTTTCACGTTAGTCTTTATCGCCTAAACTAAGGGTACAATCGAAACTAACAATGTCATGATATAGAAATAAAATTATCTTGCAAATTTATATAGTAAAAAAAAATTAAAAAATTAAAAAATTTGTTTGATCCTTACAATTTGGTATATTATGTTGAAATAAAAGGCACAATTGAAAAGCCCTTTTATAATGGAACACTAAAATAAAAACAAATGATAAACTCAAGGACCAAGCTTGAAAAAATGGCAAAAACTTCAAGAAACAAAGAGACAAAAATATACAGTAGCATTTTTAACAAAAATAATAATAATAAAACAAAAGAGATGGCACTTATCCCATAACAAGCATTATTCCCCTAAACTCAAAAGCGAAATGCATTTTACTGTTTCAATTTCAAAACTTTTCATTACTTTTGGGCCTTCTAGTTTTTTGTTATTTCACTTCTACCATTGAGTGGATTATTATAATTAGGTTATTGGTCTTTGTTAATCTTTACCAATCTCCTCATTCTCGACCCTTTTTTTCTTTCTTTTTCTTTTTCCCTTCATCATTGTCTCCTTTCCTCTCCCCAATTTGCACCTTCAAAACCCTAACGAATCTTCCTCTTCATTCTTTATCAACACAAAAACGATGACAAAAAATGATGCGAGTAATGGATGAAACAATAGAAGAAGAACTTCTTCAAAAATCTCAAACCTTACAAACCCTAAAAACTACTTAAATATTATCCAACTCAATTTCAAACCTCTATGCCTTCTCTTACATGATTTCATCAAACAAAGACTTCCATTTCTACCATATTTTGATGAATTCAAACTCCCGATTCAAGAAGTCCCGATCGCTACTCGAATCAATTAGGTCTTTCTCTTGAAATCATATTTTTAAAGAGAAGTTACAACATGAATAGGGCTTTTAAACATGTTTGGTTGGAGACAACCAAAGATGGGTAGAGGGTTATTCATCCACTGGTTAGTGATTCATTTGTTAATTTGTAAATAATTAAACTAATTAAGTTAGGCTTTACCGACATGATTAATCCTATAAAAGCTTATCCGTATTAGCAATTTAGTTAGTTAAACTATCTTATTATTAAGAAATTAGGAAGTACATAAGAATATGGATCTCGGACTCTTGATTAGATAAATTAATTAATAGATATTTTATATTCTAGCTTTGATCCGGTTGAACATGAACGATCATGCGTCCTATGGAGGTACGGGATAAACAAAAAATTTGTTTCCTCCGTCTAAAATTTTCAAGATCATATCGTTGAATCAACTGATCATACATACATAATTAAAGCATAATAAGAAATTACATCTTGCGGTGCAAAACTCAATTATGCAATAAGAATCGTATAAGCATTCGATTTCTATTGATAATCCATGTCGCTTCAAGCACTCATACAAGACCCATTTTGTCCCATTAATGATATGGTTATTAGGTCTTCGAAACATTGCTTCTTTTGAATTGACTCGAGTTCATTTTGCATGGTAAGAATCCAAATCTCATCATGTTTGGCCTATTTAAAATCTTAAGTTCAAGTCGGGACAAAAAATGTAAACTACCACACACATTAAAAGAAGATCTAGTTTTTATATATTTAGATATATCCCATAAAATTACATTTTTTAAGGGATCTTTTGGAATTATCCATTCCTTTGGGAATGGTGTTGAAACTTATTGCTCATTTGATGCATTACTTGTTTCGAGCTTTTTAGAACACTTCATCATTTTAGTCTCGTTTTATTTTTATGGTTTTTCTTCTTGAATGATTTGATCAAATATCTTTGAATCTACAAAAGTTTCTTAACTTTTATATTTGATCAAGTGCATTAGTCTCTTAATATATATATATGCTCTTCTACACTCGTTAACTAGAGAGTAATCAAGAATACACCTTAATTGGATTTGGTATTAAATTTTTTCAAGTTTTATTTGGTATTAAAGATATACCATTTTCATCCAAAAACTATAAAATACAAAATATTTGATTTTCTTCCACTCGAAGCTCATATGAAATTTTATATAAGGTGGATTTAATAAGAACACTATTTAAAACAAAACATGCAATGTTAACCGATTTGGTCTAAAAATATTTTAAACATGGTTTTATTCATCTCTTGAATAAAATGATCTTTCCTTTCAATAATGTCATTTTGTTGAGAAGTCCTAGGAGTTGAAAACTTACTTTCAAAACCATTTTCTTG